AGAAGAGTTTTAAAACCAAGATGAGATGACTCTAGTGCAGATGGAAAACACCCAAAATGTCTGAGACCACCGGGCCCATTCTCCGCAGAGGTCACACCCCGCTGCCTTTGGTTCAGCAGTGCTGATACAAATGGAAAATGAACTTTTCCCAGGTGTGTGAGTAGCTCAGGGCACCTTTTCTCCATGCAGCACCCAGAGCTGCCACAAGCCAGAGCTGCTTGCTTGTGCTGGCATGGCACGGTTGATTCATCACATTCATAAACCCAACTGCTGCAGTGGAACCACTTCAGCAAGCACAGTACAAAGGCTGTGAAATGACTTCATCCCAGATCTCTCCCAGGAGCTTATAGGTGTTGTGCTGCCAATGCTCAGGCTCTGCTGCTTTGCCTGGCGCTTGGGGTGCTGTAAAGAGCCAGGCCAGCCCCCCAGTTCTGCCATTCAACCATCGTGCAGCACATTTCAAACACAAAGTCAGGCTGCCAACGAGACTGGCTGCTGCAGAGGAGTGATCTGTCATCACCAGCCCCTCCCCTTCCATCAAGGACGCAGATTCTCACTGTGCTTCTGCTCCTTTCCCTGTTTGCACTCTGGGGAGGAGAGCTGCTGCAGGGGACAGCCAACACAGCCCAATGCTCTATCCTGTTCCCAGCGATGGCTTAGGAAAAGGGTAAAAGAAGGTATAGCAGAGAACCCTTTCCCTTTGAGACCTCCCCAAGTGATTAACTGGTGTTTTAAGCCCGGAGGTTGTATCCAGCCTTCCCCGAACAAACTCCACTGTGTCTCATCGCACCGCACCCCAAAACTCCCCGATGTCCTGATCCCCCTCAGCCGTGAACAGCACCTCCAAGGCCAGGATGCTGCCGGCATGTGCTGAGCACCCCCGGGAGCCGGGAGCGACTTCCCAGGGCTTCCCGCTGGAGGTCAGTGTTGGCCTGAGCACACCGGCTGTCCCTCCGGAGGTCAGTGATGGCCTGAGCACACCGGCTGTCCCTCCGGAGGTCAGTGTCGCCCCTGCCGCTCCCCTTCTGCGGCATTACAGCCCTGGAGGAAAGCGGCAGAGGGCAGCAGCTCCATCACCTCCTCCTGTCCTTGCAGGAACTTTCCGAATGTAAAGGATCCAAACTTTACATAGCAGAAGTGGTGGTCGACCGCCGACACTCCGAAGAGCTTGGGCAGTGCTGACCCCCAGATGCTAATTTGTTAAAATATCATCATCACCTGGCAAACCAACCTCAGCCAGTCCCACTGCACCCACTGCACATCTCCCCATCACTGCCTGACTGTACCAACTCAGTTCTGAGCTCCAAGAAACACCACTGAATGTCTTCAAGCTGAGTATTTGCAAAGGGCCAAGTATTGCATGGAATAACAGCAAGTTATGGTGTAACATTTCCAGCATTGAGACTGTCAGTGAGCAGCTGGCAGCATCCAGAAAAAACCTAACACTACCAGAGGGACTGATCAGTTCTTCAGGAAATGTGTTTCAACTAAGATTCCAGCTAGTGCTGTGTTTGTTTGTAACAGGGTGGAAAACACTATTTGTAGTTTGGGAATATAATCTGGAAAGAGCATTTGTTACTGCTTGTTTGAACCTGTTGGAAGCAGCAGGAAGGTGGTACAAGCATAAAACATGCAGAATGCTGCTGGGCACAGACAGACACGGCAGCTCAATTGGTCCTCCCTGCATAGCCAGAGTTTCCCAGGGAAAAACATACATATTTTCTAAGCGGCAGCTCATTTTGACTGTGTGCTTCTGAACATGCAGCCTGGATTATCTGAAATCAGTCTGGTTTGCAAGGAGTTATTCCCTGAGAAGTCAGAGAAGATAGCCCAGATCACCACTAAACCTCTTTGGTGCTCGGGATGGATTCCACCTCCCCCATCAGCATCTCACAGGCTCAGGACAGGGCTCTCCCCACCATGGGGAAGTCCAGAGTACCTCTTGCCATCACCCTGAGGTATGACATTCTTTCCTCAATCTCAGAAAGCTCAGAAAGTTTTTTGTGAAAAAAACCAACCCTCTGTCTTTTGTGTGAGCTCGAGATTGTTACAACTGTCATTACATAATATTCCCTTAACTCCCTAAATAAAGAGGGGAGGATTTCCAAGGAGACTTGATTTCACAACTGAAATCTGAGTGACAGTTACTCCTGTTTCATTCAAATCCCTCTTATTCACTCAACAGGGACATCGAAGAGACACTAAAACAGATGAAGAGCTCAGGTATAAACTTTACAAAGCTTAAAACTACTCTCTCCCAGCAAGGCTCATGCTTTACATGACACCTTAATCCTACTCATTTGCTAGATTCACCCTAACTGTAAACAAAGCTTTGAAATGGAAGCTTAAAAGCCTCGTTGGGATACATTAACTTAACCAAGAACACACTTTTAAGGCATTAGTTTAATGACAATCACAATACAGGTTGCCAGAGTTTTGTGCATGTGAGGATTAATATCTACAGGAAAAAGAAGAAAAGGGGTTTGTTCCCCCTGTCTTCCAGCTGTTTGGCAGTGAAAGGCCCACGGCGAGGGTGGTTTATTGGTGCTTGCAGGGGGCTCTGGGCTGTCTGGCAGACAGGGATATTCCAGGGAAGATGTGCAACACAGTGCTGCCCACCAGGGGTTGTCCCAACACACCAGGTTTTAGGGTCATCTGCTCAGTCTAAGCCAGGTTTTGGGGGAGTCAGTCACAGTGGGGACTCACACCAGACCCCCTCTTGCACAGCACAGGGGTGGACCTCTAGCAGACACATCCCTGAATCCGGAGCTGGATGCCACTGTCCAGAAAGCCCCACAGCAGGAGGGCACAGGCAGCTGGGGGACAGGAGCAAGTCACAGCCCAGCCCCCTTCAGCCCAGCCCTCTTGGCTCCCCCAGCACCTCAGTTAACACTCAGAGACACCAGGATCTTGGAAAGACCTTTCCAACACCAGCTCCCTGCTGTCTCCAAGCCAGCTCAGCTTGGTCTGAGTTGTCACAGCTTGGCCAACTGTTCCCAGCACATCCCACCCAAGCAGAACCCCAGCATCTCCTGCCCACCCCCTGCAGCCAATATTGGTTTTATTTCAGGTCAGTAGCTGGTCATTCCCTGCCTCAGCAGCCCTCCTGCTCAGGGTGCAAACCCAGTGCAGTCACAGCCCCATCAGCCACCAGACCCAGTGCTTCTGGCACATGTCTGGCTCCGACACCCTGGGTACTTAGGCAAGACTCCAAAAGTTCTTTTGTTAGCAAAACATTGCAGGATCGGGCCCTGGGAATGAATGTGAGCTATGACAAATGTCCTTTCTGCTGACTGTCCTTGCAAGTGATTATTTCAGCACCCCCCCCAGGTGATCTCTGCAGACAATATGTCACAGGCAGGCATGGCACGTTGCAAATTTCCATTAGACAGAAGATGTCTGCCTATAGATATTGTGTGGAGAGAGCCAAAGTATTTCAAGGGCTGAGTTCTTTCACAATGCCCTTTCTGAGCAGGGTTATTGCCAGGGGAAAAGCACAGAAGCTGCTGCTGGGACCAGGTGAAAGCTGAAAGGGTAAAGCTGGATGGACCAGAGAGGAGACCAGCACTCAGCATCTCAGCTGAAGATGGCAGACCAGTTTTTAGAGACAGATGGAAGCCAAATTGTAAGGAAAGCAAGAAGGAAAATGCATTTTCTTCCCTCCACTCTCATACTAAACCCACTCTGTTTCTGTGGAGCACCTAGAATGAAAGAATGAAAAGCCACAATGTCCCAAGCTGTGGACAAAAGCTGATTCTGTGGTACCTGCCAGAACACCAGCTTTTGTTCCTGCCCAGCAGCTGTGGAATGAGATGCTGTTTTACACCAAAGACCATATGACTTCCAACTTCTTAGAAAGGAGAATGCCATAGGGACTACAGAAAACTGCTCTGCTTCAGAAGACACCTTTGAAAAAAAGGAGAGAAATCCTAGCTTGGCATTTTTACCCAAAGCATGTTTAAATTCTTAAAAAATGTAAGTCTGGGGAGTTCTCCCTTCAAACCTTGTCAGGTGGTCTGGCTGGGAGTCCTACAAATAAATAGCAGCAGCCCAGCCAGTGAACAAGTTTGATTTTTAATTGGTTTTGTTGCTAGGAAGAAAAACTGTGATCTCCTAATTTGATCAGCTAAATCAGAATTTCACCTGCAAGGGATTCTTTGGAGAGAAGACACATTCTTTTTATGTAGATGGGAAACTATCAAGTCAAGTAAGAGCTGTGTGGGCAAGCCTTATAGGAATTACCATTTGGTTTTAAGAAAATCATAATAAAAGAGAGAGCTTTAAGAAGCATTACTAAAAATTTAAGATGTGGCAGTGTCATAACAGCAGCACGAATCCATCTCCCACCAGTTACAAAAATGTAATTTCCTCTTGCCAAGATCTGTCCAGAGCCAGAGGAACAGCAGCACTGGTCATGTTGGAAGAAAAAGCTTTATTTTAAAAAAGTCCTTTCTAACAATAAAAGTAATTTTTAAAAATAGTAAAAAGGAGTAGTCAAGTTGGGGTTTCTTTTCCTACAGGGAAAGGAAATAATAAACATCTTAAATATTCATTTAAAATCCAGTGAACTTGTTTAGTGGTTTGGGGGCTTTTTTTTGATAACTTCATTCCAGTTACACGGGAGGCACTCGGGGAAGAGAGGAAAAAGCCCATTTGAGAGGGAGCTCCTGCATGTTACACCATGCACACACCTCCTGAGTGTGCTCCTGCCGGCCCCCGGGGTGCGATGCTGCAGGTGGCATCCCCTGGGCACAAGGACAAGCTGGGAAGCCCTGTCTGGCAGAGCCACAGAACTCCTTTTCCGAGAGCAGACAGACAGATACCACCTTGCCTCCGCTTCAGAATAAGAGAGAGAGGAATTGAGTCCTCCCACACGCGTGTGTCCGCACACAGCCCGGGACCCCCGATCCACCCCAGCTGAGCCCAGGGGAGGGAGAAGTCCGCTTGTCCAGAGCCGCCGGTGGGAGCCCGGGGATGTCGGGCCCATTCCCTCAGTTCCATCACATGTATCGCTCCAGGCCGGCGGGGAAGTTGGGCTGCCTCATGTACGTGTTGCTGGAGCCGAACTGGCCGAGGGGCGAGGCGGAGAGGCCCAGGAGCTGCTCTCCGTGCTCGGCGCAGGCCGGGGCCCGCATGGCCGGCAGGCCCAGTCTGTTGGGAGCCCCGTAGAGCTGCGGGCTGCCGGGCGAGTAGCTGCCCTGAGCCACGGGCAGGTGCGGGGGCGAGGCGGCGTAGGGGTACGCCAGGGAGTTGGGGCCGGCCCGGCCCAGCAAGCCGGGGCTGACGGGCTGTGCCTGGAAGCAGGGCGGCTCGGAGCTGCCGGCAGAGCAGGCAGGAGCCAGCTCGGCCCCGGGCAAACCCAGCGATGGGTGGCCCAGCTCGGAGGGCGGCGAGGGCTGCAGGGCCTGCTGCCCGCTGATGAGGCTGTCGATGCTGAACATCCTGGGATGCTGAGCCGGCGGGGCTGTACCGGCCGCGTAGGGGTGGAAGACGCTGCCGGAGAGCTGAGGGCCGTAGCCGGGCGAGCAGAGGGCATTGGGGTAGGGCGCTGTGGGGGCCGCGGGGCGGCCGGCGGGCGGGGGCGTGAAGGCGCTCGAGTTCTGCATGTAGCCGGGGTAGGTGGTGATGTCGGTGCGCTTGAAGCGCTTCCTCCGCCGCAGGAAGCTCCCGTTGTCGAACATGTCCTCTGCGGCCGGATCCAGTGTCCAGTAGTTGCCCTTGCCGGGATGTCCGGGCTCCCGGGGGATCTTGACGAAGCAGTCGTTGAGGGTGAGGTTGTGGCGGATGCTGTTCTGCCACTTCTTTGGGTTCTCACGGTAGAAGGGGAAGCGCTCTGTGATGAACTTGTAGATGCCGCCCAAGGTGAGTTTCCTCTCGGCGGCGTTGGCGATGGCCATGGCGATGAGGGCGATGTACGAGTACGGGGGCTTGCCCCGCTGCACCGGCCGCTTCCTCCGGCGGCCCCCAGCGGCGGGCGGCGGCTCCTCGGGCGGCGGCGGCGGCGGGGCCGGGCTGCCTCCAGTGCCCCGCGGCTCCGGCTTCACCGGCGGCGCCTGCGGAGAGCCCCGCGGCGGCCCAGGGGAGCCGGGGCTGGCCGCGGCCGCGGGGCTGGGCGCCGGCAGCGTGCACATGCCTCGCAGGCACGGGAAGCCGGCCGCGTTCATATACGGCCCTCACCTTCCTCCTCCTCCTCTTCGGAGGATGGGGGGGAGCGGCGGGAGAAAGAGCCCCCCCGAGGGGGGGGGAAGGGGAGAGGGAGGGGAAGGGGAGGGGGACAGGCTCGGCGGCAGCTCCCTGCGATGGGGAGCTCGGTCCCGAGCAGCTTGGCAATATATAGGGCTGTCGCCCCCCCGGAGGGGCGTGCGGTGCCGGCCCGCCCGGCCCCTCTGCCCCGGCGGGAGGAGGAGGCCTCCGGGGAGGGGTCCCAAATCCCAGGACTAAATCCCCCAGCCTCTCCTGGGGTTCCTTCCATGGCCATGCCCCCAGCGGTCCCTCCCCCGGGGGTCCCGGGGCCAACGCTGCCGCCGCCTCTCGTCCCGGCCCTTCTCCGCGGCGCTTCGCTGTGCTCGGAACTGCTGCTTCCTCCCAGGAGAAAAACCAAAAAAAACACGAGTGCCGACGGCCAGCCCGGGGCGACTTTGGTGCCGCTGCCAGCCCCCAGCAGTGGAGCAGGTAACCTCCCTCCGCAACCCCTCCTGCGCTTGGATTTCGTTGTCTTTTTCTCCCGTGAAAAGCGCTCAGAGGTGGCCCCAACTCAGCGCCGGCAAGAGCCAGCGACTGTCTTCGAAACTAAACCCGTCGGTTTAGTTATTTTGCATCTTGGTGAGACCTCCGAGGTAAGAAATACTGGGAAAATATTTTTTTCTTTTCCCCAGGAGAAAGGGAAATGGTCCACAGAGCTCAGAGCTGCCCAGAGTGTGGGCAAAGGATGAGGGACAGGGCAGCACTTTGGAGACGGACAGGGAAAATAAGGATATCTTTATCACTACGCAGTGTGAAGCTGTAGGAAGACACCAGTTTCAGAATTCCCTACTGGAATTCTGGAACCTACTGGGTTTCAGGAAAACCTCTTCAGTTCTCCAGGGTGAGTTGGCTGGGCAGAACCGCAGCCTTTCATCCTCGGCATGTGCCGCTGCCAGGGCTGAGGGGCTGCTGGCTGCTTGAGCTGCACCAAAAACCTGTGAGCTTCCTCACTGTGCTCACCCACTGCTCCTGAGAGTCACCTCCGAGCCAAATGCCTGCCCAAGGAGCCCCTGGCCCAGAGCAGGCAGGGAAGCCACTGATTAAGGGGGGGCTGGAGAAGCCAGGGGGAACTTTTATAACCAGCTCCCAGCCTTAGGCATGGCCATGTGTCCATGTCCTAGGGACACAGATGAAAAGTACCAAGAATGCAGTGGCAGATCCCTTCATATGTCCTGCTGGGAGTGAAACTTGAAGTTTTCAACTTTGCAACTTGTGTGAAAGTATTTCCAAGAGCAGAGCACAATGAAAGGCTTTTTCCGCAGAGGCAAGCAGGTGAGCTTGACCAGGTCCTATCACCCTCCTACCTTCCTTTTTTGAGCTAAAAGGCCATCCAGCCTTTTGGAGAAGAGTATTTGCTAGTGGTTTTAAATTCACCATCCAGGTTATCTCCCACCATTGTTCATTTCCCTTCTTGTGCCTGCATGTGGTTTTGTTTGTGCTTTATTTTTCCTGCACATATTTGTGGTTCTTCTTCCACTCTCCAGGGCTCAGGCAGGGAATGGTGGGTCCGGTCCTGATCTGACAGGGACCAGTGCTGTTTCAGCTAACTGCCTCAGCTTCCACTCTGCCAAATGAAGATAAACAGGAATATTGGTGCTGGCTGGAGGAGAGAGAGCAGGTGGAAGAGGGTGAAGGGTGCCTTTCTCCAGACACAGATCTTCAGGGAGGAAAGCAAATAAAGACACAGCTGGGTCCATTTATTCATCTTGTAAGAGCCAAGGGAAAAAGAATGGAAAATTCATATTTCTCCTGAAGCACACATTTAAATCAAGCAAGTACCTGAATGGAGGTGATTCATTTCAGCCAGAGGATCTGACTTTTCCACTCATTGGAGAGGGGAGCAGGACAGATATCCAACAAGGGAGTCACTAAAGATCACTCCAGGCTGCACAAGAAAGTTACCTAACTGTGGGAGATGGAAACCTTCAGCTTTGCCAACATTAGCTGGTGAGATTTTCATGTTGATGCAAGGATTTTAATGTATTCTGATCAGGCAAGAATGGGTTTGGGAGGGAAAAGGGTTATGGAGTGCAAAAGAAGAGCAGCTTTTCTCAATCATATCAAACAGCCCTTATTTATCCTCACTATCTCCCACTTGTTTGTTTGGGGGTTTTTGTTTGTTTTTGTGGGGTTTTTTGTTTGTTTTGGTGTTTGGTTTGTTTTGCTTTTATTCCTAAAAACTGAAAATTAGTTGAAAAAGAAAACCCACCCGTAAGGTTGGATCTGGAGCTGCCTGCACCTGAGATCAGATCTAGCAGAGGAAAAACATCTCATGGACAATGGGCTGTGAAGACCCAGCTGCTGTGAGTGTTTACAGTCCCAGGCCCTGATCTCATGTCATTTTACACACAGAGGGAGAAGCCCTGGCCATGGGCTGGCTCAGACTCCAGCTGGTGAGTAGTTACTTTAAAGCTGATGGGACCATTCAAACTGCTCTCAACGTCACTGTGTTAAGACCCAGATGTCAAAATAGCTTTGACAGACTGATAAAACAGCAGGACAGGGGTGGGCAGGAGCACACAGGCAGGAAGCTGTGTTTTACCATGGAATAAGGAAGGCCAGAACACACAGACTTTGATTCTCACATATGTTTTCTCACTCAGGGTGCTCTTTGGCCCAGATCAATTATTAAAAAGTGAAAGACAATAATGAAAGTGGCTACCAAACAAATGTGATCTGGACCTCTCTTTAAAATGAGGTGATGATAAGGGAATAAATCACCTTTTCTAAGCAAGTGTAAGTTTTGCCAGCATCTGCTGCCTTTTGCATCAGTTCATCCTGAGTACACAGAGAGATTTCAACCTCCAGCTCCTGAATTGTTTTGCACTGGAGCTGCAGCCTCCTCTAGAAATGTTGTACACACAAATCACTTTATAGCACAGCTGAACTTGTTTCACTGCAGAGGAATGGGGCTGTGCACCCTCAGCCAGATTCTGTTTCAAGCCCCCCATGCATGAATTGCATCTGTGGTACCCAGGCCACATATCCAAGCTACATTTGGCAATCACATGGGTTAGAAAAATGTGTGGTTTTTTCCCCAAATCAAAACAATCCTCTGCTAAAGCACAGGCAGTATGGGAGTACCTGGGTGAAAGATTTATGATCTTTAGCTAGCCATGTTGAGAGACCAGTGGCTTTGTCTTGTCCTGAGTAAAACTGTTGCCTCAATGTCTGCACAAGACACATGCATTTGGATCATCCCTGTTGTTCATCATCCTTGTTTGATCCTTGTTGCCTCAATGTCTGCACAAGACACATGCATTTGGATCATCCCCCTTGTTTCCAGAGCCCTCCAATTACCTGTGAACCAGGCATCTGTTTCTCAGTCCCCCTGGGATGTGCAGGGAAAAAGAGGGAGTGGGAGCCCTGATAGCAATGACTTCTCTGCTTTCTCTCCCTAGAAATTCCACAGTGAACAATGCAAGGCACCCTCCAGCCTCAGAGGCTGCAGTGGCCCCTAGGGGATGCTTCAATGACACAGAACCTGCTGATGGTGCTCTTTGGATGGCCCTGAATTACCCCATCACTTACAACAACCAAATGTTCAGGTACTTCCCTGGCTGCCAGCTGGAGGAGCAGCACTGCCCTGACATCACACTGGAGCCCATTCCCATCCCCTGGGTATCCATGTCTGAATCCACCCAGGCTCCAAATTCCCAGATGGAGAACCTTGAGACAGCCTCCCCCACAGGTACTCCAGTGGGAAGGCTTTGCCACCAGCAGGTGAATCACATTGCCCACAGAATCATGGAATGGGTCAGGCTGGAAGGGAGCACTGTGGTCATCTGGGCCCAGCTCCCTGCCCAGGCACAATCATCCCAGAGCACAGGATCACATCCAGGCAGTTCCTGAATATCTCCAGACAGGGAGACTCCACACCCTCTCTGGACAACCTGTTCTGGTGCCCAGTCACTCACACAGCAAAGTTCTTCCTCATTTTCAGGTGGAATTCCCTGTGCATCATTTCCTGCTCATTTGCCTTTTGTTCTATTTCTAGGCAGCACCGAGGAGAACCATGTAAGAGCTCAGCACATTTGCATGGGGTGATGACAGCTCTGGAGTGTGTGAGAAATCCTCTCCTCCTGGGACATTTCCCTCATGGGGTGCCACTCTCAGGCAGGAGGAAAGCAAACAGCAGACCTGGAGGGTTCACTGTGTGGCTTGTGAGCCCAGCACATGTCCAGGAGTGGGGCCACCAAGATGCTCAGGACCAGCAGCCACCCAAAAACCAGCCCAGGACACCAGGCTGTGGCTGGGGTCAAAGGAGCCACAAAATAAACACCCTTCCTGAGCTATCCCATGTCTTCAAGATGCAGGAAACTGATAACCAAAGCAAATAAAGTCTTCCTGAGAACTAACTCTTTGAGTCACTTATGTATTTGTAGGCAACTGCACAGTAAGGTCCAGACAAAATAAATTCTTCCCAAGAAGTATAGGTAAAAGCATGTATCAAATCTGTGGAACAACAGGGAAAAGTTCTAGATAAAAAAACTTTTTAAGTATTCTGCACCTTTTTGGGCAAGTTTGGGGTTTTTCCCATTATAACCAGTCCAGATTTTCTTCCAAGATCATTCTGATGTAATATTTCTAGGTTTTCTTTTATTCCTATAGAAAAAAAAGGGGATGGAAGGAGAAAAAAAAATCCTTTTTTTTTTTTTGTTACTTTTTGTAAAATATAATGTTCCTAAAAGAAGCACATTTTGTTTAAATTTGAAAGAAAAGAGAAAAGATTACAAGGGACTTCAACTGTTGAAACTCTTGGGGGACAAATTTTGGTATGGAGTTTTGGCGATTTCACTTCTATAAACTTTGTTGCTTTTTTTGCTCAAGACAAGCCTCAATATTTAGGGTGAATAAGTATTTCATTTTCCCTCTTTCTGGAACAAAA